GCTGAATAAAGTTGACATGAGACTTTAGTACTGGCTCCATTCCCCTTGGATCCACCACCTCTAGAGTTGTGACACATTGCCTTTTAGGATCTCAACAAAAAGCCTAAAATGTTCCTGAATGTTCATTTTGGCTAGGCAGGAACTCTCTAGCACTCTTTTCTTTTAGCTCAGCCCAGCTTTCAGACCTTGAGTGCCTGTTTTCTGTTAAATATCCTACCATAGCCTTTACCTCTATAGATGAAGGTTAGGAGAACCTACTGGAAAAAGCCTAAAGGGATTTTTTTTAATGCAGATTTTTGGAGTTATTTTTTTAGGAGCTTCCTTTTTGGGAGCACCTGTACTTCTTTCTCCTTTGTTCAGAAAAACAAACAAACAAACAAAAACTCCCCAAAACAAAGTTGATGTCTTCATTTAAACTTCATCAATATTCCCACTTGAGGTAGGAGTATCTTCTTTATATGTGTTGCTTTCATTGGTTAATTAATAAAGAAACTGCTTGGCCTGATAGGTCAGAACATAGGTGGATGGAGTAGACAGAACAGAATGCTGGGAAGAAAGAAAGTGAGTCAGACGCCATGATTCTTCGACCCAAGACGGATGTAGGCTAGAATCTTTCCTGGTAAGCTACCACCTCTTGGTGCTACACAGATTATTAGAGATGGGTTAATCAAGATGTGAGAATAAGAGGCTAGAGCTAAATGGGCCAGGCAGTGAATACAGTTTCCACGTAACTGTTTTGGTAAAGGTAGACGGCGGCCGGGACCTGGGCAATGGGAAGTGGCCTGCAGCTCCTTCTACACGCACTTAGAAAATGTTAAGAAGAAACATATTATTAACATAGGTGTCATTAAAAAAAAAAGCCGGTATTCTTCCTTGGTGGCTGTGAAACATAAAAACAACTGTATTATGTATCTATCTAATTCTGCGATTGTCTGTAGTGAAATAGTAGATATTAAATTCTCTATTGTGGCCAAACTAAAAGCACACCACGAGTAAAACTTCAAAGTGAAATGATTCAATACAACTGTTTTTTCACCTTTCTGGCTATATTTGCCGATACAGAGAGGATAGAACTAGATTTTATCCAGCATTATGATTAAGTAGTAATAAAAGAAGGACAAAGGATAAGATACACCCAAGGGAGTACTCATACTGCTTGACTGTAAAATTTAAGAGGGCTTTCATGAAGAGGATGAGGATCTGGCAAAGTTGGTACCAAAACATTAAAGATCTTGTTAAAGCTAGAGTAGAAAAAGATTGAAAGATGCAGAGTAGGAGTCAGACAAGGGGCACACAAAATTGTGGTGAGGAGAGGAAGGCAGTTTTAGGTACTGTTAAGGTTTAAAGTGAGAAATGACAAGAACACAGATGGAAACTACTCAAGCCATGAGAGAACATAGTATAAGAAGAACAAATATATATATATATGTATTAAAAGGAATATTGTGTCCTTGCTGTATACAAGCTTTTCAGATTCATGAGATCCCATTTATTATTTGTTGTTCTTAGTGGTTATGCTATGGCTGCCCTATTTAGAAGTCTTTTCCTGTGCCAATGACTTCAAACCTTCCCCCTACTTTCTATTCCATCAGACTGAAGGTATCTGATATTCTGTTGAGATCCTTGATCCATCTGGAGTTTTATACAAGGTGATATGTTTGGATTTATTTGGATTCTTCTACATGGAGTCATTCAGTTTGACCAGTGCCATTTGTTGGAGATGCTGCCTTTTCTCCAGTATGTACTTTGGCTTCTTTGTCAGAAATCAGGTGTCTGTAGGTATATGAATTGCGGTCTTCAAAACAAAAACTAAGTAGTCACTGAATATTAGGGAGAGAGTATCCCAACTAAACAATTTATACTACCAAGTAAAATCACTAGTGCCAGGAATATTGATGTTGGCCAAAGGGGTCCCATAGAAACACTACTGCCAAACATCACAGGCTACTACTGCCAAGGCTATTGGTTGTCTTCTACAACCTGATGGTAAAGGCCTATTGCTAAAGAAAAACTTATGACATTGAATACAGAGAATCTGGCGCCTAACTAGAAGCTTTACCCCTACTTTCAAAGTGCTGGAAGCTACTCTGCATGTGCCAGAAGAGAAAGGTCATCAATGTCACCCAACTACCTACAATTGCAACCTGCCTGAAGACACACTGGTGCAACAGTATCACAAATGTTATGGGGATAAACACTTTTTGCGCGGATTTAAGGCACACTCTATGAGATGGAACCCATACCTGACACTATTAAAGTGGCCAAGAAACTAAGACTAGAAAAGCCATAGGCCTAGGGGGAAAACTTCTATTATTATTTGGCTAAAGGAACATAGTCATCTAATGATATAGTACTATACCCATAGATCAGCATCTCACTTAGGCCATTTAAGAGATATTTCTTCTTGCATTGGAATTAACAGAGTCCCACAACCGGAAAATGTACAGAGATTGAGATATTTTAGAAAATTCAGTCCTAAATGCGATGCCTTCATTAAAGCCCTCCCCTTAAGGTTCAGGAATTGATGTGGAAAAGGAAGAAGAAAGATTGTATAAACCAGGGAGCTGGGGGAGAATGGAAGAACTGTGGATGAAATATAAAATAAAATTTAAAAAGGAAAATAAAGAAAATACTCAACAGAAAAAAAAAGAATTGTAAAAGCTAGAGGAGATAGTCGACTCCAAGGAAACGGTCTTCCAGACACAATAGGACTGATGCACATACGCACTCAGAGACTGAGGTAACATGCAAGATTTTCACAAGTTCAAGACAGACGGGGGTCCCTAAAAGGAAAAAGTAGAGAGGGCCATTCCACCTCTAATCAATAAGGTATTTTCAACTGAAGACCTAAAAATAAAGAGAAACACCAGTTTTCTCTATGGAGTGTCACTTTGTGTATCAACCACACTCCAGGGCAGATACTACTGTAGTGATATTTTGTTTGTAGCCTAACAAATAAAGCTTGCCTGAAGATCAGGGTGGCAGAGCAATGCCACTGAATAGTCACAGAGGCTAGGCAGTGGTGGCAAACACCTTTAATCCCAGGCAGATGGATCTCTGTGAGTTCAAGGCCACCCTGAACTACGTGAGATTGACTGTGTCTAAAAAAGAAAGAGCTCACACAAACGTGACACCAGCACTTGGGATCACATGCCTTTAATCCCAGCACTAGGGAGGTAGAAAGAAGAGTGTTATGGATGGTTGGAGAGAGGTGTGTGTGTAGCAAAATTCTAATTTTTCTTACTAAGAACCCAGAGTCAGATATTAGGGGGTAAAAGGTGAGAGATCAGAGAAGCAGAACAGCCAGTTACTAAAGAGACTACCTTTTACCTCTACTGAACTCTCAGACCAAGAGGGCGGTCCTGTCTCATACTGTTTTGCTTTTCTGACCTTACAGAACCCCTGTAAGACTTTAAGACAATCCTGAAGCCATTTTGGACAATTCTGAATCCTCTCAGCCTCTGTGCCATAGTGCTTCCCCTCCTCCCCTGGGAACCAAGGACCTAACAGCTACACTCGCATGTACTCAGTTCCTGAACAATTACCCATATATGTATGTTTTGATTCAGTCCCCTGGGAAACGGGGTCAAAATGACCTCTTACCTCATCTGATCTGGCAACAGCTCTCCAGTCAATTATTGGTAATAGCCCTTTCAAATAAGCCAATCAGAATAGTCAAAGAACAACCCCCCCTTGCTTCTGTGGCCCCTTTAAAAGTAGACTGTACCAGCTATTCGAGGTCCCTCGGCTTCCCGAATGCTGGGGGACCCTGTCATGTCAAAATTAATAAAATCCTCATGCTTTTGCATCGGCTGTGGTGTGTGAGATGTTCTCTGGGGGCGACTCCTTCTCGGTGTTTGGACGCTAGAGGCCAACACCCCAATATCTGTCTCTGGGTTTTTATTAATTGTGTTATACCTTCCTGTCTCTACCTCCCTAGTACTGGGATTAAAGGCATGTGACTTCCATGTACTGGGATTAAAGGTGTGAGCCAACACTACCTATTTCTATTTCTCTTTGAGACTGGATCAATCTAGTATAGCCAAGGCTGGCCTTGAACTCACAGAGATCCCTCTGCCTCTGTCTCCCTGAGTCCTGGGAATAAAGGTGTATGCCACCACTGCTGGGCCTCTAGTGGCTTAGTTCTGCACTCTGACCTTTAGGCGAGCGTTATTCATTAAAACTCAAATAAAATATCATCATAGGAATATAATAAAAATTTTAGTAAATAAAACATTACCATGAATTAAGACAGGAGTGGAGTCTTACTGGACAGAGTGATAAGGAATGACCATTAGGTGAGGAGAACTTGTGTGGGTTAAGTGTCAACACATAATGAAGGGATGTGAATCAGAGAATGTGACAACACAGCTCTACATCTGCAAGTATTAAGGAATGGCATGTAAGAGAAGATCATTATAGCAATTCTTTCCAAAAATTGTATTTTCTATGTTTTCACACTCTTCAACTGTTAGGATACTTCACTTCAGTGGGCATGTTTGAGAGGTAACAGGTTGAAGTAATAATATTCAATTATAGCTGAATATCAATTAGGCTAAAATTTCTTCTGGCTCCCAAAAACCTGTATCAATGTCTTAACTTTTAGAGTAAAATAGTTTGTTTTTTTTCTCTTATTACTAAAGAGGGTACAATGCTTCTCAAAACAATCTTTTGAGTCTAGAATATCACACTTCTAGGAAAGAATTACTTGGGGGGGGGCAGATATAACCTAGGATATTTAAGATATGCTTCTGATGTGAGAGAACAGATATAAAAGGCGTTTTTGGAAAACATCTTAGAGGAGAAAACTGAAGTGAATGTAGGACACACCTCCTGTGCTTGCTCAAGGATTCCAGACCTCATGAATTGCTACATATCCAGTGCCAAAATAAATGGGTAGGAAAGAAGAAATAGTCTCTCTCCCTTACATGTTTGCTAAGTGTACCCCTCATTAAAGTCTATGTTGAGATAACGAAAAAATTAGAAAAACAGAAGCTTACCTGGATATGGTACTCTCCCCTTTGTTACCAATTCTGTCTGTAGTATTCCAAATGACCACACATCTGACTTTATAGTAAACCGACCATACAAGGCAGCCTCAGGCGCTGTCCATTTGATTGGAAATTTTGCACCTAAAAATAATGTTGGCAATCTTAAATGTTTTAAAAGAGCCTATTTGTGTAAATGTAAGGTCAAAAGTCTAATCTCTATCAATATCCCAATTTTTGGTATCATAAGTTTGTCTTCAAACATAGAAAATATGTGGAAAATTTCATTGACTTTAAATTTCTATGTTAAATCTGTTTTTTTCTTATATTTAATGATATAAAACATTGCTAGTGGGAATAGAACATGATCCAATAAGACAGCAGTAGAATGTTTAATAAGACAAAAACATGGATTATAATATTGGAAACATGGAGCAAGAGCACATGCGATTCTGATCTTGCTGTATTTAAATTCTCATAATCGTGGCCAGGCAGGCATGATAGTGCATACTTTAATCCCAGTAGACAGGAAGCAGAGGCAGGTGATCTCTGAGTTCAAGAGCAGCCTAATCTACAAAGCAAGTTCCAGTACAGTCAGGGATACACAGAGAAACCCTGTCTTGAAAGAAAAAAAATTCTTACAATCCTATGTCAGCCTCCTGCAAACTAGGATTACAAACTTTTGCTCAATCTGCTGTTTTGTGTGTGTCTGTATATGTAAAATAAGTAATGAACAAAGATGAAAACTTCATGCATGCATCCCTTTCTCCCTCTGTATGGCTTTTTAAGAAAGGGTCAGTTGTTCTCTAACATGCTATCTATTAGAGAATGACCATGAACTTCTGATCCTTCTGCCTCTAATTTCCAACTGCTAGGTTTAGAGACATGAGACACTACACTATTATAAAATATACAACTTTAAATTCACTTGATGTCCAGAGGCTGTAGCCATTTATGGTTGAAGACCTAATCTCAGTCTAATGGCTACTGGCTCATAATCTTTTCTGTACTTCTGTGCTATCTTTACAGAAGCTTTTATTGTGCTATCACATTTTTTATTGTGTGTCTGTGTGCATTCTCATGTGCCTTGCCACTTGTGTGGAGGTCAGAGAACAACTCTGAGGAGCGGATCTCTCTTTCTACCTTTAAGGGTCACCAGGTTTGAGTAACTAGCACATTTGTCAGCTGAGCCATTGTACCATCCCTTGTGTCAGCATGTTTAAAATATATGTTAACTTATAAAAATATTTAGTCTATGACTTTAATATACAAGCATTTTGCTAATTAATATAAATACAAAAACACAACTTTCATGAAATTTGTGTATTTATGCTAGTAAAATTTTAAGTGCTGTATATACTCAAAGTGATTATATACGTGTGTGTATGTATATATATATATACATATATGTTTTAAAGTAGTTCTCAAGTATGAAAACAGTTCAACTTTTACAATAACAAGGCTTCATTAAAGAGTGGCAGATAAATTTAGCCTTTAACAAATGGTTAGGATTTTCTAAGTAAGGACTACAAGAATGTATGACTAGTTAGAGGTAAGTATATATAGAGGCAGAGACAGAAAAGAAGTGGAAGGATGGTGAGGTGACTCAGCAGTTAACATCTCTCACTCCAGTTCTAGGGGATATGACACCCTCTTCTGGTCTCCATAGGTACTACATGCAAGCAAAAGACCCCCACATATAAAATAAAATAAATCTTTTTTTTTTTTTTTTTAAACTGTAGCTAAATCACGGGCTTTCTACTTTGGCAATGATAACTATTCTGGGATGGAATTGTTTTGTGAACGCGTGATTATTACGCTGTATGTTACAGCATGATTATCAGTATCTTAGCCTCTACCCATCAGATGCTGACAGTAGCCCTCAAATTAGAAAACCAAAAATGTTTCTAGACATTGCTGATGTCTCCTTGGGGTAGGAAGAGATAATGAATGTTTAATTGGGAACCACCTCCAATCTAAGAAAATAGTTTAAATAACAACTTACCAAGTTTGTTTAAAAAAAAAAAATGAGAAAACATTTATCTGGGACAAGGGCGATAGCTCAGTGTGTTAAGTGCTTGCTGCCCCTATGAATCTGAGTTTTGATTTCCAGAACCCATGTAACTTGTGTCTATGACTCCAGTGCTTTTACAATGAGAAGGTAAGTGGAAACAGAAAAATGTCAGGGCATTTGCAGGCAGCTAAACCTGGTACTTATCCTGGGAAATAAGAACCCAATCTCAAGATGGGAGAGTAATACCCAAAGTTGTCCTCTGACCTTTGGGTGTTTGCTGTGTCATGTGTGTGTCTACTCCCAAACACAAACACACATGAAAACACAAAGAATAAATAAAATTTACTGCTGCCATCCTAAAGGAAGTACCAAGGACATTTTATCTGCTATATTTATAATACAAAAGTATCTCGTCAAGTTCTTCTTTAGGAATTAGCTATTAAACAGCCAAAGTATTATTTATTGTATATAATTGTATGAATAATATCAATGGTTCTGAGTCCTCTGAAGCAATCTAGAAGTCTTTCCCCCTCCCTCCC